ATAAGAATGATAGAGAGTTTATTTCAGTTAGGGAAACTTGTTGTGCATTGATAAATAGCAGTAGATAAACATTCAGAAAAGAAATGTCCCCTGAAGTACAAGTTTGTTCATTAATTTGTGTTGTTGTAATTCACAACACCATAGTAGTTTGGGCCCTTACTTGTAAATTACTGACACTTCATGTTTCATGTGTGTGTGTATACTATGCATGTGTCACTACATTCACACATGTGGGTGGGTATAAGGAAGGAGATCAATGTTGGGTGCCATTACCTATCACTATTTTCAGTGCTTCTTAAGGACTTGTTTATTTTTTTTATGTGTATGAGTGATTTGCCTGAAAGTATGTGTGTGCCCTACATGAAGACTGGTAACCATGGAGACAATGTCCCCTGGAACTGAAGTTATATATGGTTGTGAGCCATCCATCATGGGAATGCTGGAAACAAAATCTGTGTCCTTTACAACAATAGCAAGTATTCTTAACAGCTGAGTTATCTCTCTAGGACCATTCATCTTAATTTTTGAGAAAGCATCTCTCCCTGAACAGGGAGTTTGTAGGTTCACCTACACTCATTGATTCTTCTAACTCTCTAAGACTGGGGTTTGGGGCAGGTTTTTATGTGAATACTGAGAATTGACCTCAAGATTCACACACTTGAAGCACTTTGCTAACTAATTATGTTGGATTTTTATAATTTATGTCAGGATACATATAATTTTCTTTAAATGAACTTACTAAGTTACTTTGCTCAAAGTAAAGAATAAAGACTTTCCAGTTTGTAGATAATTTTGACTGCAAGGAAATCATTCAGAATTACTTTTTTATGCCAATCCCTTTTCCCTATCCCACCTCCCCCCAACTCCCCAGCACCCCTCTCTGCTCCTCATGGAGGGCAGGGCCCTCACAGAGGCTCTGCAAATTCCACAACATCATCCTGTGCCAGACCCCAGCTCTCCCCCATGTGTTCAGGACAAGAAAGCATCCCTTCACATGGGATGGGCTCTCAAAGCCACTTCTTATACCAGGGAATAATACTGATCCACTACCAGAGGCCCCATAGGATGCCAAGGTCTCCTCATTGACATCCACTTTCAGGGTCAGGATTAGTCCCATGATGGACTCCCAGACAGCCAACTGGGGTCCATGTGCTCCCCCTTGTACAGGCCAGCTGTTTCTGTGGGTTTCACCAGCCTGGTGACAACCCCTTTCATCTTCATTCCTCCCTCTCTGCAACTAGGTTCCAGAGTTCAGTTCAGTGTATATCTGTGGATGTCTGCCTGTGCTTCCATCAGCCACTGGATGAGGGCTCTAGGATGGCATATAAAGTAGTCATCAGTCTCATTATAGGAGAAGGGCATTTAGGTTATCCTCTCCACCATTGCTTAGATTGTCAGTTGGTGTCATCCTTGTAGATCTCTGGAAATCTCCCTAGTGTTTGATCTCTCCTCCAACATATAATGGCTGCCTCTGTTTTGATATCTCTCATCCTGCTCTCCTCTATTCTTTCCCCAACTCAACCTTTCTGCTCCTCCATTTCCTCGTCTCCCCTCATTCTGGCAGCTTCTCTCCCCTACCCTCATGCTCCCAATTAGCTTAGGAGATCCTGGTCCTTCCTATTATCTCAGGACCATGCATTTCTCTCTTTGAGTTCTTCTTGTTTCCTAGTTTCTTTGGTGAAGAGGATTGAAGGCTGGTAATCCTTTGTTCTATGTCTAAAATTCATATATGAGTGAGTACATACCATGTTTGTCTTTTTGTGACTGGGTTACCTCACTCAGGATGGTTTCTTCTAGTTCCATTTGCCTGTGAGTATTTTACATGTCAATCCCAGGTCCCTCTCCCTCCCTTCCTCTCCTGCTCCCCCAACTAAAACCCAACCTATCCCATACTCTTTCTACTCCCCAGGGAGTGTGAGTCCTTCCATGGGGGGTCTTCAAAATCTGTCATATCCTTTGAAATATGGCCTAGGCCAACCCCATTGTGTCTGGGCTCAGGAAGTATCCCTCCATATGGGATGGGCTCCCAAAGTCCATTTCCATGCTAGAGATAAGTACTGATCCACCTAAAGGGGCCCCATAGATTTCCAAGGTCTCCTCACTGACACCCACATCCAGGGGGTCTAGATCAGTCCCAGGATGGTTTCAGTCTGGGGGCCAAGAGCTCTCTCTTTTTAAGGTGAGCTGTTGCTATGGGTTTTACCAGCCTGCTATGGACCCCTATGTTCATCACTCTTCCTTCTCTGCAACTGGATTTCAATTCAGTTCAAGTTTTTGCTGTGGATTTCTGCTTCTCCTTCCACCAGCTGCTAGATGAAGGCTATATGATGGCATATGAATTAGTCATCAGTCTCATTATCAGGAGAATGCATGTAAGTTAGCCTCTACTCTGTTGCTTAGATTCTTTGTTGGTGTTATTTTTGTAGCTCTCCAGACATATCCCTCATGCCTGATTTCTCTTTAAACCTATAATGTCTCCCTCTATTATATTATCTCTTATAGTGCTCTCTTTTTTTCTTCCCCCAACTCAACCTCCTTGCCCCATTGTGTCTTCCTTACCCCTCCTCTTCTCCCCTTCTCATTCTCCTAGTCCACTCTCCCCTACCGCCATGCTCCCAATTTGCTCAGGAGAGCTTGTCCCTTTCCCTTTTCCAGAGAACCATGTATGTCTTTCTTAGGGTCCTCCTTGTTTACAAGCTTCTCTGGCAGTGTGGACTGTAGGCTCCGGTGATAATCATCACAGCATTATTTGTAAATCCAGAATCTGGAAACAATCTAGATGCCCCTCAACTGAAGAATGGATGCAGAAAATGTGGTATATTTACACAATGGAGTACTACTCAGTAGGGAATAAAAAACAATGGACTCTTGAAATTTGCAGGCAAATGGATGGAACTAGAAGAAACCATTCTGAGCAAGGTAACCCAGTCACAAAAAGAGAAACATGGTATGTACTCACTCATATGTGGATTTTAGACATAGAATAAAGGATTTTCAGAATTACTTTTTAAGAAAATTTGAATATAGGTAAAATAATTATTTTACTTAGAATTAACTTATTTTTATTATTGTAAATGGGTTTGTCCACTTTGATAAAAAATTGTTTTCCTGAATTTTAGAATTTATTTTAATTTGGCTTGATCACTTGTTGGCCTCCTAAATATATTTTATGTAAGAAAGGAGTTAGAATGAATCATTCTTTTGTAACTATTAACTTGGTGAATCTCCCTAAAATATACATTTACAAGCACTAAAACTAATCATGAGATATCTCAAAATATTTCTCCCTGCTGCAAGAAGTGACTTTGGGGGTGAGAGGAGAGAGAGGGATATGAGATTTGAAGCAAGCTTGTTCCCTAACTAGAACTAATAAATAAATTTAAAAAATATTTCTAAATATATCTGTTATATTCTGCGACCACAAACTCAAATGAATTTTTGAATATCAGTATAAATAAAGCAATATTAATATCAAAGAATAACACAAAGTATCTCATAATTCCCAAATACTGTTTATATTTTCACTGCAATGAAAAAAAGAGTTCATTATTAGGCTCAATTCTATAGTTATTTAGCAGGAAATTGGTACACTATACAGAGAATGGAACCATCCCTCCATAGCCAGTCCCCAGACCAGGGGTGTTTAGTAGCTGATTAACAGCCTTATTCACATTTCCATTTTGCTTGCACCAGTAGCTTGAACTATAAGTTCACTTTGTCATAAAGAAATGGGAATATAATCACATAGTAATTACATTGCTTTGGGTTATTTGTTCAATTAAGTTATCTGTTACAAAGTTAATGAATATTCTTTCTTGACCTGATTGATACACTAACATTTATTCTGTGCCACAGTCTATTAATTGAGGAATAATTATTAAGTGAAATCTGAAACCATGCAAAACTATATATTTACATAGCACATAAAAATAAATTTGCCAATTCAAAATAGGCCATTAGTAAAAATTACATTTTAATAGATTTTTAATAATTGAATTCTTATATTTAGAAATAATAGTCATGTTACTATTTTATATAATTTTATTAAAAGATATGGTCATAGGTATAAAGTAGTGTCATAACATTTAAATGCTTGAACAAATAAGTCCAAAATGGAAAACAGGACTGGGGCAAATGTGTTTTGAATACTAAAGGTATTGAAATATGATACTGGCAACATTGGATATAATAGAGGAAAATCTCCTTTATAAGGCAAATTTTAAAGCTAGATACACACTAAGTCAGCACTAAGCATTCTATCCACTGGAGGAATCTCCTTGCTATTAATCCTTTTTGCATAAACACTGTCAGCAGTCACAAATCAAGTTAGGGTTTAGATAACATTGTTAAATTGTATTCGTGCTCTAGGAAAGCTGCACAACAGCATTGCCTTGTGTAACAAATCTTTAAACCACATGTTCTGGATATTACCTGCTGATATTTATTTTCAATATTTAATCTGACTTCATTAGCCTCTTAAATAACGAGCTTTAAGGATCCACTTTAAAACACTATCTTTGACATGTTTGATCCTATTATTACTGTGTTGTACTGTACTTGGGTGACTTAGGGGCCAATATACTTCTTTAAGTATTTTTTTCATATTTAAGGTTTTAGTCTTAATTTTTAAAACATGCCTGTTTAAAATAAAATGTGATATACTAAAAAAAGTTCTTGATACTATAAGAAGCAGAATATATGCTGTATATGAGAAGATAGGCACCAGCAAGAAACGTGAACTAGGATAACGGAACAATTAGCATAATCTGTAGGAATAGTGATGAGTGAAAATGCTGCTATTACCCTATAGCATAAATACTAAATTACAAACAATAAAACATACATTAATTTAAAATTTACCTTTGCTTTTCTCACAATTGACACAAATATATGTACAGCTTGTGGAAATTATTTAGAGTTTTCATATCCATCAGGTAATAAAATGCACGACTTAACACAACTCTCATTGCAAGATATCAGAAACCTTCTCAATTGTTGTCATGGAAACAGGTGTCTCCCAAACAACATTTATTTTGGTTGGTGTCAAGAACTTGAAGGTAAGACCCTACTGCTGAAGATACTGGACATTACAGATGAAGGGCTTATAGGAACCAAGGTGAAACTGACCTAATTGCCTCATAGTATCAGAAGTTGATATGAAAGCTGTCAAGAAAGAATAGAAATTGGTAGTCTCACACAGCAGCAACTGCCACAACCTACAACTGGACCATTAAGATATCTCTAATTAGTCATGAGTGGAAATTTTATCTTGGGAGATAAGTCAAAGTTCTTTAATGGGAACTAAAATTTGTTCAACCAGAGAAAATTCATAAACAGTTGGGTAAACCTAGTGAACATCTACGGATTGAGAGAGCATATACTATAGGTGGAAGTTTCTGTCCCACCCAATCCCACAGCTGTTTAGTACCAAATAAGCACACAGAGGCTAGTATTAATTATAAACTCTTTGACCAATGGCTCAGGCTTCTTAATGGCTAACCCTCTCTTAATTATTAAACAATGTCCATTAATCTATATGTCTCCATTTGGACTTGGCTTACTGGAGAATGCCTTGGCATTCTAACTTCCTGTTAGCTAACTGGTGTCTCCTTGATGATTCACTTTCTGCTTTCCTATTCTCAGAATTATCCTAGACTGGTAGCCCTAGTCTTGTAGCCCCATACTTTCTTCGTTGCAACATGCTGCCTGTCCATTGCCTGAAACAACTTTATTCACCAACCTATAAGAGAAACATATATTCACAGCATACAGAAAGACATCCCACATCAATATACAGTACAGGAAATCCTACAACTGCCATTTACCTAAACTAAAGCAATTTATAACAATATTCAAACTGTTTTCTATATACCACAGATAAGTATAACTATCACTCCTCATTAAAGAAACTGATCAAAATGCCGAGAGTAAAAGTCTATGGATGCTCAATTCCAACTTATACATTTCAATTGAATCATTTTGTCAAAAGATCAGATGACATCATACAAGAGGAAATAGAAGTATTTTAAGAAAAGGAAGCCCATGATTTCTCTTGCTAAATATTGCCTATAGACTTGACATGAAAAATGCACCTTAAACTCATCAACAATGTGATTACCTGACCAAAACCCATTATAACATCTGTTGATATACCAACATAGATTGGTGAAATTCCTCAAAGTTATAAACCTAGTGAAGAAGTCCAAATAGTAAATTGTTGCTAAGATAGAATCAGTTACCTCCAGGAATGAGCATTCATGTAGGCATTATTTTCAAGACACCAGCCTTGGGCACATGTACATACAGGCAATGTTAAATGATCTCAGTAGGTTGCATGTACACACACACACACACACACACACACACACACACACACAGAGAGAGAGAGAGAGAGAGAGAGAGAGAGAGAGAGAGAGAGAGTATTGTGTGCATGCTACACTGTTTAACAACAATTACAATTAATGAATTAAAGATCATTAGGTGGGTACTAACATTGAAGGACTTGTAGGGGAGAAAAGAACAGTGTGAAGTAATAAGGATAAAGTGTTTTTGTGTGAATTTTTCACTAGACTTTAATTATTTTTTTTCTTTTATTGAAAATAGAATATTTTCACATACAATATATCCTGATTATAATTTCTTCTCCCTCTAATCCTCCCAGTTCCTCCCTCCTATCCTCCCCTCCAGATCAACTGCTTTTCTATTTCTTATTAGAAAATAACAGACATCAAAGAAATAACAACAAAGAATGACAAAATAAAATAGACTAAGATGAAACAACATCTTTCATATTGAATTTGAATATGGCAACCCAATAGGACACAAAGTGTCCCCAAAGCAGGCACATGAGTCAGAAATCTACTTGCTTTTATAGTTATAATCCCATAAATATACTAAGCTGAAAGATGTAATATATATGCAGAGGACCTGGGCTCAACTCTTGTAGGCTTACACCTTGTGTTTTCTGATTCAGTATCTGTGAATGCATACCAGTCCTGCTTAGTTGATTCAGAAGGTCTTTTTTCCTGGTGTCTTACATCTCCTCTGGAATCTACACTCTTTTTCTTCCTCTTTCATAGGGCTCCATGAGTTCTCAGTGGTAGGGATTTGTTAGAGACCTCTAATTTTTACTCTCTCTTTCCCCACTCTGTCAATGAATCTTTTCCATTTTAAGATTTTTTTTCTCTATTTTTGTGTATGTGTGTGTGCTCACATGCATGTACACCAAATGCATGAGGATGTATGTGCAAATGCTGTGTTCTGGCACATGTGCTGACCAGAAGAGTGAATAAATGTAAATGAGATGGAGTTACAGTCAACTCTGAGTCATTCCACATGGATGTTCGGTCCCCAGGAAGAGAATCTAGTGCCTTGAGCAGTTGAGATAACTCTTCACTACCTAGAAGGCAGCATGATATATCCTGAAATAGTCAATAATAAACACATATATGGACAAGACCAACTGTTCAGTACTGATGGTCAATGTTATTTAAATTGCTAAATAGCATTGCTGTACTGTAGCCATGCCTGGATTATCAAAGTTGAAAATTATTGTCAAAAACTTTTAAATCAGGAACGTTGGGCAATTAAAAAGTCCATAATTAAAATTTGTTCTCAAGAGCCACTATGAGCTTAGGGAGAAAACTGTTGCTGGGGTAACTCCCAAGAATCCACAAGGAAGATCCCAACTAAGACTCCTAGCAATAATAGAGAGGATTCCCAAACTGGCCTACCCCTGTAATCAGATTGGTAAATAGGTAAATAGCCAAACTATCATCATAGAGCCTTAATCCAGTAATTTATGGAACATGGGTTATCTTCTTGGAGCCTACTCCCTATTGTGGGACGAGGCTCAGTCTTAATGCATGGGAGAGGGGCCTGCCCCTGCACCAACCTATTGTGCCAGACTATGTTGACTCCTCTTAGGAGCCATTTGCCAAGAGGAGGAGTGGCCTGGGGGTGCACTGGGGTGGAGGCAATAGGAAAGGGAGGAGGTGGGTGTGGGAGGAGGTGTGGGAGGAGAACTGTGGTTGGAATGTAAAATGAAATTTAAAATAGGCAGAAAAAATCAGTTTTCAAAATAGGTAACCAATACTAAATATTTCTAGAAATGATGACTCTTGGAAATGCAAACTGGTGGAACCACTATAGACATAAATGTAAAGGCTCATCAATAATTGATTGATACAGATTCATATGTGTTCATCTCTGCAGTATTCTTAGTAGCCAGAAAATTAAAACAGACTGGATGTCATACACTGATGAATGTATAAAGAAAGTGGTACATATACAGGATCACATGTTGTTCAATCAAAAAATGATAAAAATGCTTATAAATGGATGGAGTAGGAAAAATCATCCGGATACATGCATGTTCTCTGTCATATGTGGAAGCTGGATTTCAAATTTGGGGCTTCTGTGTTTAAATTGTAGTACACATAAAAGTCAGAAAAATAGTAAGGGACCATGATGTGTGTATTTCAAGAGAGAAAAAATTCTAGTGTTATGAATAGGGGAAGGGAAACAGTGGAACCAGAATGGATGAATTAGGTGTTGATGGGGAAATTTGTCAGGATAGAATATGGGGAAAGATGCCTTTCACTAAAGACCTTTTAAAATGTTCTATGGAAATCTATTACTATATAAGCTTCCTAACACACACACACACACACACACACACACACACACACACACACAGAGAGAGAGAGAGAGAGAGAAGAGAGAGACAGAGACAGAGAGAGAGACAGAGAGAGAGACAGAGAGAGATACAGAGAGAGATGTGGGAAGAGAAATGTTACCTTGTTTTCAAGTTGGTTATAGGTGGGGTGCTGTTGACATACCCCCAACATTACAGTCCATTCTCATAGCCCTTTGTTTCCCTTTAGAAACTGATGGTGATATTCTGTTTTTGAAGGCACTACATAGAGTAGACAAAGGACATGGAGAAATTAAGCTGGTATTGACCAAAAGCTTCATCCCTAATAAGTTACCTTCATCTGTGGCTAACTTTTATAATCTGAGAATTGTGATGCCAAGGAATGAATGTCACCAATATTAAATAGACATCATAATAAACTGCCTCCTATATCCTTATCTTTCTTCATGGGACAACTCTCAACCTTCATCAGTATAGCTTCTCCTGTGGTACAGGGTGATGAATACAGAGATTCACATCATGGTGAATGTGAGAAGAATATAAGGTTTTTGTGTGCTAAGCTCTAAAGGGAATATCATATCACACCTCTGACAACAGTAGCTCATAGATCATTGAGTGAGGGTTCTGGGAAATTTGTAAAAGCCAAAAAGTAGTGGAGGCCTGTGTTGAAAAAGTACTTGCATAAATGAACTTATAGCTAATTATCTGAATGAATAAAACCTTTACAAGATCAGTCCAACCAATATGCCAACATGGATGGGATGATTCTCTTGAAATCCCACCTATAGCTGAAAGCTATTGGCAAACAAAGGCTGCCAAGAAGGGAAATTTTGTTTCCTTCATGGATGTAGATCCCAAAAGGTTACCGATGCCCCAGTACATACTCACATACACACAAAGATATCTGGTAAGAACAAGTAGACTCAGTATATTTAATATGAAAGAAGGAGAGAAAGAACACATAGAGTTTGCAGAAGAAAGGGATGTGTTATAAGTAGTAATTAAGAAGGTTGTAAGGATGGGGTTGGTTGGATCGAAACTCACCATATTCATGTACGAAATTCTCAACAAAACAATAGTATATTAAGCCAATCTTCCCACTCCCTAGGCAGAATAATGTATCTTTCACACAAGCTCATACACAAAATGTTTTGTTACAGTAATTCTACATTTTTATAATTACAGATTTCACCTTTACAAAATAGGTAAAAGTAAAAATCAATATTTACATTTTTAGTTTATGAGGTAAATACATAAAACTTATCATATAGCTATCTGTGGAATTTTCTGACCAAGAAAACCATAGAATTATTTCCAAAGACTCTTTTGTAGGTACAGAAAATTTCCAGTTTTAATCAACTGGTTTCACTAATTTTGGAGGCTGAGAAACCTTAGGGTCATTATCATGTTACTAGTTAGAAGCCATGCTTAAGATGTCATCACAAAACACTACTTCAAGAAACAACTGCTCTTTGATTATGAGAATTTTTAAAATGGAACATAATGTTATTAGTTTTTTGACTAAAATATAAAAGTATTTGATAATCAAAAAATACTAAGAATATCTTCATGGGAAGTTTAACTTTTATAACTTATACAGCCTCAATTTATAAGAAACTGTATTTTATTTTTATAATTCAGAAAATACATAATTTTTTGAGTGATAATGCAAAAAAGACTTTTACAAATAGGCAAAAGCAGTGAGGAATCTTTAATTGGAGACATTCCTGTGTAAGAAATATAAAAATTCAATGCATGATCTGTAAAACTCCCTCTCATCTTCCTTAAAGTTATTTCAACAAATTTTCTATGTGATGGAGATGACTCTACATACAGATAGGATTAGTCTAAGCTACAGACATTATGCAAATCTTTTGCAGATTATTTAACAGGATATACACAAAACTGAAATTGTACCAAAGCAGTCTAGTCTACATGATAAAAAAATACATCCAAGGTTTATGACACAAATTATATAAAAATGAACAGTGAGACCTTCTAACAATTATTTTTGTAATTTCACATTTTAAAGAATTAAACATGACACATAGACCCTCCAATCTGTTTTAAACTGGCATGCTAGTTGCTTGTTGTTTGTTAATTAATTTATCCTTCCCCCAAAATGAAATAAATATAAAAATAAAATTTTAAATCAGAAAAATCACATACAGGATTAATCATTATCTGTATATCTACCTCTGTCTGTATATCACAATCTTGTGATTGAAATTATAGGGCCTCTAATGCTGATAAGTTCTTTTCTTCCTGTCTATTTTTTTCATATTTTGAGTAAATATCTTAGTTAGCTGGCAAAGCAATATTTGAACTTGAAGTCCTCCTGGCTATGCTTCATAAGTAGGTAAGATTGCAGGTCTGTGCCACCATGTATGGAGTTTTCTATTTCTTTGTCACTCTGTGTCTCTTTCATAGACTTATATACTACTTTGAGTTCCTAGAATTATGTATATGTCTGTATGTATGTGTATTTGTGTATATTTGTATATGTGTTAATATATCTATAAACCAGTATATTCCACTGAAGAAATTACAAAGAATTGAAAGATAACTAATCTTTTAAAGTACTATGACTTATCATTTATCATAGACATACACACTGAGGAGCAGAACGATTTAGAAGAAAATGTGGATCCAAATTTCAAGTTCATTCCACCAACTAAAATATGTTGATCAATAAGAAAACATTTCTACTTTGTAATTTAAGAGAAAAGTGAAATAAAACAAGCTTGTGAGCAATAGCATTCAAATACCAGAAGCCCCAAAGTTATCTTTCCCATGACTGTAACTCCACTCTGGGAGAAGACTCGGACAGGATAATTATTCAGGAATGCTGGCTGCCAGCCTAGGCTAAACCACAGAGGCTCCACTTTCAGAGAGAGAGAGATCTTGTCTCAAAATAGTAGAAAGAGAAAGACAGATGAGGACACCCAATGTTGTCTTCTGAACTATGTGAACTTGGATAGCAATGTGTCAAACACACACACACACACACACACACACACACACACACACACACATTATAGTGAATGAATAAATCCCAAACCAAATATGAATCTCCAACTTTTTTCATTATATTTTAGGATATGATATTTCAGATTGTCAAAATATAGAAGTATTCAATATTCTCACTCAGAAAGGGAAGTTCAATAAAAATAAACTTAAATACTTTAATTACATGAGAAGTACTTATGATATCAGCCAATATGTTGGATTATTATTGGTTTCTGCTAAAAGTGCTTTTATAATATGCAAATAGGTAGATATTTGGAAAGAGATAAGTCAAACTAATCTACAGTGTTTGCCTAAAGATATACTTTCAAAATGTGTCTCAGAAAAGACATCTGGATACATATCTCTAAACTGACTATTCTCTCTTGTTTTGTAAATTTTTAAAGTTGGGTATACAGAATTAATTCTGACTAGTGAAGATTTTCATAACTTAGACTACTTTTTGGTGAATTTTGCTTACTGATTTACATAAATGAATAAATTTTCTCTTCTTGATGGGAGGTTCAAATAAACACAAGCATGTCTATTTACATAAAACAAAGTTACTATTGCCTCTAAAATTAATTTTTACAATTAAAGCAGTTGAACAAGAAACCAAGGATATTTTCCTCTTTGGGTCTAATTAAAAGAGTATTTTATACATTTTTAGTCCAATTTCCTTACTAGACCAGGAAAAGAACAAAAAATGAAGTTGCTGCTTCTGTTACTTTGTAAAGGGACTAAAACTAATTAATTTGTGTTGTCTCTTTATACTCAGTATTAGACAACAGAGGCCATTGGGTGTTAGGTCAACACCAAGGAGGCAGGTGGTCTTGGAGCTGAAGGAAATAAGTAAATGAAAAATAATTCTCACTTTAGAGCTATAAATTAATCCCTTTGAACTATTAATCATTGAACTTTAATGGTTCACAAGTTACAAAATTCTCTATAAACATAGGGTCACATGTGACTATAAAGATTAGTGTGTACTAAATTATACATAATTTTAATACCCATCAGGATCAGTAGAGCATACCACTGTGTAGGCAAGCAGAACTATGTTACTTTGTGAAAGTAAACATAGGCCTACTCTCTTAGTTAGGATTTCAATTTCTGTGACAAAAAACATGACCAAAAATTCTAGGGGAAGAAAGAATTAATGAACTCAAGCAGGTCAGGACCTGGAAATAGGAACCAATGCAGAGACCATAGAACAGAGATCTTCACTGTTTTGGTATTCTTTATAAGCCTAGTCTCTTTCTCCAAGCAGGACCCCCTGAGCCAGTATGTCCTTACTCACATTGAGTTAAGCTCTCCCACAATGATAATTAATCAAGACAATAAACCACAAACTTGACAATAAGCCAATCTTATGAAAGCATTTTTTTCAATTAAACAACCCCTTTTCCTATATCCACAGATCCCTGCTATGCTGAATATAATCTGCCCACCCTGCCAGATCTCCCATGTCCTTATAGAAGTTTTTGCACAGTGACTTTCACAGACTTTCCTCATTCATACTTTCGCCCCCAATCCATAATATCTAACCTTATTCCCACATCCAGTTTCCCATTCTAGTTCAGTCACCTTTGTTTGCACAGAAACTAGTTTCCAGGCTTCTTTCACGATTCCCATTACCTACTCCTAACTCACAGGCCACTCCCATGTCACCTCTTATCCATAGCCTGGTATATCCCCAAGCAACGGCCTTGGATCAGAAGACAACTGTTCTGGTGTCTCTTCCACCTGACTTATTCCACAAAAGCCACTCCCAACATCTAGGCCCAAAACACCCACACATCCCCTCTTCTGCCTCCACATGCTGTGTCAATACCACACTTACAACTAATAAAAGAAGTCATAGGACTATATCTTACTGCAAAAATACCAACAAAAGGGAAGCTCTGAGGAGATGGGAGGCTGCAGAGGCTACCACATTCCACTCTGTTCCTGGACAACCTGAAGACTAAGGTGACGGATGAGCTCCTCTTCGAACTGTTCCACCAGCCCTGGCCAGTAATAAAGGTGAAATTCCCCAAAGATAAAGATGGCAAACTGAAACAGTTTGCATTTATGAATTTCAAGCATGAAATGTCTGTTCCATATGCCATGAATCTTCTCAATGGAATCAAACTTTTCGGGAGGCTTATCAAAACTCAGTTTAGATCAGAAAGTAGTCATGCTTCTCAGGACGCCAATGTGTCCTATCTTCAGCATCGTGTTGGAAATTTAAACCCTACCTCCACATCTCCTAACAGCTATGAAAGGGCGGTGGGTAACATGACTCCATCAGCACAGATGGTCCAGCAGTCCGTCTCTTCTTCAGAAGATTGTCAGCAGCAGGCAGTGATGAACAATGTTTTCAGACAGATGTCATATGGTGGGAAATTTGGTTTTCTTCATGCAGATCAGTTTTCTCCATCAGTCCAATCACACGGTCATACCTTTAACCAGTCTTTCAGCTCCCAGTGGCACCAAGGTGCATTGTCATTACATAAGAATGCCTCCATTCGCCATGCATTGGTGGCGCACGCCTTTAATCCCAGCACTCGAGAGGCAGAGGCAGGCAGATCTTTGTGAGTTCGAGGCCAGCCTGGTCTACAAAAGCTAATTTCAGGACAGCCTCCAAAGCCACGGGGAAACCCTGTCTCGAAAAACCAAAACAACAACAAAAAAATGCCACCATTCTTGTCATTTCATCTCAGAAAGATGAACAATATAGATTGGTTGTAGTATAAAGCAAATATTCTAATTATCTCACCCTTTTGGGTTGCACGAAATTTCTTGGTAATGAATCATTTTGGCCTATATAGTAGGAAACATCCAAGTTGGTAGTCTGAAATGGCTAAGTGCATATTGCTAATAAATGAGAAAACAGAAGTTCTTAGTAATCCATTTTTTAAAGGTTTATTTAAATAGTTGATTTGTTTTGTTTGGGGATGAATCATATTTTTTAACTCAGAATTTAAGTACAAATTATGTGGTATGCTCTTGACTTTTATCGCAAACATACATTATATATGTATACTAGTTCATTCAAAGAATTTTTTTTTTTTTGGCTTTTTTGAGATAGGGTTTCTGTGTGGCTTTGGAGCCTATCCTCGAGGCTGGCCTCGAACTCACAGAGATCTGCCTGCCTCTGCCTCCCAAGTGCTGGGATTAAAGGCATGAGCCACCAATACCCTGCCTCATTCAAAGAACTTTAAAATTATTTCATTAAATATATTTGATGTATCATTAGTCACTCAGGAAGTTAATTATCTACATGTGTATTTTTACATAAAACAGTGTTGATGAAATTCTTTTTAGAGGAAGAACGATGTTAACACATAGATAAAATGGTAAAATGTTTCACTGGAAGGATTATAATTTTGAGATTTTGTTCAACAAAACTTCCATGTTTCAAGATGTGTTTCTTATTCACTGCAAATCATTTCTAAGAATTTATTATGAAAAATGGATACTCTTTATATCACAGCATTTATCCTGATTTTTTTTACTATATTAAACACATAAAAATATATGTGTCTCTTTATTTTGGCATCACTGATGTCAGGGGTACCCAGTAACATAGCCATATACTTTAAATCTTGTCTATTCACACTTCGGTTGGTAAAGATTGTCCATCTTACAGCATCTTCTGTAGATTTACGTTGATGCATAGCTAGACTTCTATCGACATAGATTATGGTGTAGAGCACTGTGAACATTATTAGTTCCTTTGCTTTCTGTGCCCAGATGTTCTAAGTGTCCAGGCTCTGTGTCCCTACTTGGCATAAGTTAGGTTTTATTTGTTTAAAAAAACTGTTTGGGTTAAGCAAAAAAAATTACCAGCAAAATGATATATCAAGACAAAGTCTTCTCTACAAAACTGACAAGTTTGATATAAATGTTTGCCAATGAGAATTACTTAGATGATCCTAGGACAGGGGTTTTAAAAGAACAATCATAGTACCCCCTCAAAAAATTCAAAAAGTGTAAAGAAGACACAAAGAAAGAGATCAATGGAATTAAGGAAAAACATCTTAAGGACAATTGAGAGATGCTTAAGGAAAGACAACCATAAAACTAATAGAAATTACGAAGACATTCCAAGACTTGAAAGTGGAATTCAGTAAGCAGATAAAAACACTGAAGAGTATACAACAGATACTATAGGGTGAGGAGGAAGGGGAAAACTTCATTCACATTGGTGAGATTACAAACTTGTGTGGACACTGTGGAAATCAGTATGGAGAATTCTCAAAAAGGTAAACATAAATCTGTCACATGACCACACCTTGGCATACACACAAAGGACTGAACATCTTGCCCTACATATACTTGCTCAGCCACAATCATTGCTTCACAACAGTTAGGAAATGGACAAAACATGTATTTTAATCAGCAAATGGAAAATAAAACAGTGTTACATGTATAGAAGGTACTATTACTCTTCTGTAAAAAAATGAAATCAAGTAACTTGCAAATGAAACTAGAATAAAATCACATTCACCAGGGAAATCTAGACACAGAAACACAGAAAGACAAGCAGAATATTCTCTTGCATTAGAGATTTTTAGCTCCAAGTCTTCATATGGAGTATATATCCTGAATTAACTACAGAAATTGGAAAATTAAAAAGGACCCTTTCCAGGGTAATTGTGTGCAGAAATAATCAAGAGATGAGGACCAAGGTAAAAGTGATGTGACTGGGTAAATAGGAAATGAGGGTCTCTATTCAGGGAAGGAGAATGTGATAAATAGAAGGATGAAAAATGGTAAAATAACATTAAGGGTAACTTAAAATGCATAAATAATCAAACTATTAATTGTCTACCTAAAAAATAAATGTGTGTGTTCTTATTTTTCAGTGAATTTTCTCATGTGGTCTGACATTTCTCCCTCCAAAAATCACAATTACATAACAAAAATCCAAAACCAGGCACAACAAGCACCTTCTCAGTTGTTGGTCAGGGCTGTCTAAGAATATCCCCAAACATTACAGTCTATTGTTGTTGCTCTTAGTTGCCACAAAATTTGGAAGGTTTGTTCTTACTTCTGAAGACACCATAATCTTCAGGCATAAAACTCAGAGACCCCTGAACTGGAAATATCTTGAGTAAGTCTTCCCCAAGAAATGGCGTTCATGATACAAGAAGTCACCATTCATGTTTCCATTTATGTACTAACGATCATACCATTGTACCTTGATTTATATACTTTTATATGTCTGCAGAAACATAGAAATGAAGAAACAACAGACACAGAAAAAGAAAGAGATGAGAGAGAGAGAGAGAGAGAGAGAGAGAGAGAGAGAGAGACATACATAAATTGAAGCTTGACTTGGGTGGGCTTTTCTTCTTCAGTGGGAACACTTACCAGGCAACCAGGAAAGTAGGAAAGTCAAACAATTAAGTTCTACAGAATACAGAAGAGACCTTTTCCATGAATCTCTGTAGCTGGATGAGTCAGTCTATAAACACCCAGGAGTATGAAGCTAAGGATGATTTGTTCATTCATACTCCTAGCAGTGGAAGGCTTTGCCATTTCTCTGAGCTTGACCCAAAAGGAAAGGTCATTCCAAGGATCTAAAGCCTTAAGATCCTTGATTTGGCTATACTCATGTAAACAATAGACACTCACTCAGGACTCCCTTGATTCCCCTCAACTGTGGTTTCAGATTTTAATTCATATTTTTAATAAAGTATAATTCTATCTTTCTGTTCTTTTCTTCCTCCTCAAAGATGCAAATTCTCTCACTCCAAGACCCCAAGCCCTCCCACTCCAGACATCATTTCAATATCATTCAAACAAAATGATAACCTTTTGTTTTTTACTACACACACACACACACACACACACACACACACACACACACACAGACACACGTGTCTGTATGATATTAACATTGATGACTATTTATTGGATAACCCATTGCATTGGATAATCTATTGGATAATCCATCGTGTTGGGTGATATGAAGGAGAAAATGAAAAATCCTCTATGTAGTGCTTTAACTGCAGAAATGTAAGAGAGGTCAATAGAGAAGGAGAAGGAAGAAAGTGGGAAAGGGATAAATAATATGCAGAACATTTGATAGAGCCTCAAAAACATTATTTTACATTTACTTAAAATTAAGTGAGTGAGTGTGTATGTGTGTGTTTGTGAGTGTGTATGTGTGTGTGAGAGTGTGTGTGTGTGTGTGTGTGTGTTTAATAAAATTACACCACTGGGCCTGCATGTGCTTCTCACAAGATCCATGAAACATTCACAAAAAGGGACAGGCATGAGAAACATCTAGTCAAACTGCTGGTCAGAATAGTCCAAGTGACTTCCCAAACCACAAAACCTATTGATGTTGCACATGTTTGCTTCATATAGGTTGAAGGCAGGTTTCCATGCTTAAGTAATTTAATACTTGGACACACAATTAAGAAGATTTTACTTGGATCCAACCAGAATGCTTGTTTTACATTGTCTAACTTTCATACTACCAGATGTTGAAACATAAACTGCCAAAACTGAGAAGCAATCAACGTATTATACAGCACTAACACCTATGGACCACAACAATGGCCAGCATAACAAGAAATCCCTAATTGTATTATAGTGACACTAATGTGTTGGTGGTAACCAATAGCTATGTAGTTATACTTAAGACCTACTCAAAAGGAAGGAAACAAGGCCTAGTACTAGAAATTTAGCCAATTGTTTGGGGTTAAGGTGGTCATGTATATTAGAGGATAACACACTAATATCACCTTACCAGATCACTATAATTATTATTACTACCTCTACTATAAATATTTATCCACACATCCAAAGATACATTGATTTCACAACTCACATGGAAGAATCCTTTTACAAAAAATAGGCCCTTATACAAAAAGTTATCTACTCATCTTACAGATTTAAAAGGCTTGTGAGAAACATACCCCATCAGATATATCTGTAACACAATGTCTATGCTGAGGCTCAGGGAACTTTACAGAAGTGGGGGCAGAAAGATTACAAGAACAAGGTTCCAACGAGTCTGCTGTGAGTTTGTGTCTCTTAGAAGGACATGAATGATATACACATGATGTCTCAGACTCATGGTGCTAAATAAGTCCTGAATAATAGCAATAACAATAGACATGCTAACATACAAAGGGGAAAATCTCAGGGGGTCCCACCAATAAGCAAAAAAACAACACTATAGGAAAGTAATAACTATATAGAGTGGGGGGGATTTTGTAGACATATTAAGGCAGCATGGCTGTAATCAACAGCAAACATATTAACTTAAAAGACAAGGGTGAAACAAACAAAAATCCTAGAGCCTATCATATATATCATAACAAGTATATTCTGCTTCTAAGGATTGCTTTTTAGTGAGTAAATCATGTTTAACTTAGGAAGTACTTGGTCATGACTGATGAGGATTTGTACATGCTTTAAAACTTAACTGAATTTATGGAACACCACAAATATTTATGCCTGTTTAACAATAGGCATAATCCCAAAGGTATGTTTTGTAGGCAACTTTCCAAAGAGTCTTGGGTCCTATCTAATTCTCTTACATGGCTGTAGCCCATTAGAATTGATTGTGAATATCCAGTAATTAATTAGTTCTCAATTACATCCTGTAACACTTATTCACTTGTGTCTTTCAGGTCCCAGTTAACATAACATGGTATAGTTGTGTTTCACATAATCTCTCTCTTTTGAGCTTTAAGAATAAACCAATGTACAAAATCCTTGAGGTCAGAGAAAGCTTTTAAAGCACGCATGACTCTTTCTGTTTGATCCTCTAACCCAAATATTTATCTACATCTTCCTCCTTGGCAACACAAATAAAATAATAATAAAATGTAATCATCCACATAAAATGGTTGGACATAGCCACATGCTCAAAAACAGAGACTTAGTCCAATTTATGTCATGTAGCTAAGAAGCAAGAAGGTGATACTATAGGGATTTCTAATAAATCACTGTCTCACATATATGAAATAACCTTGTTAAACATCAAACACTATGTAAAATTAAAATACACATTTGAAAATATCCTTAATACCTGAGTTTTAATGAACATGGATTTTAGAGGCATGTTAATGGTGATTTAGCAATCAAAATACTTAGCAGAAATCCATAATTTGTAATCTTAATTTTTTAAACTTGAAAAATAGTAAACAATCATACATATTTATAACAGTAGTTTCTTGGGGGCAGGTAACAAATTCATAAACCACAATGTAGCTTTTATTCATTTATTTTATTTTATGTTCTTGATTTCTACACATTTCATATATCTCCAAAGTGTACTATGCTTGATGTATAGTGATTTTTAAAAGTCATGTTACTGAACAAGG